TTGTGGCCTCTTTGCCACTGTTTCTGGAGTCCTCTCTCTTTAGAATGTTCTGCAGTATTCTCTGTAGAGTTGGATTGGTGGTTGCGAATTCCCCCACTTCTTCTTTATCTTGGAAGCACCTTGTTTCTCCATTAATTTCTAGGGACAGTTGTGCAGGATATATCAATCTTGGCTGGAGGTTATTGTCTTTCAAAGCTTGGATTATTTCTCCTCACGCTCTTCGAGATTTGATGGTTTGTGCCGAGAAGTCTGCTGTAATTCTGATGAGTGTTCCCTAGTAAGAGATCTGTTTCTTGTCTCTGACAGCTTTTAATATTCTGTTCTTATATGGGATCTCTGGAATCTTGATTAATATATGCCTGGGTGTAGTTCTGTTTTGAATGTAGGTGGCTGGAGTTCTCTGTATGCCTCATACATCTGAGCATCCTTACCTTTTCCTATGTTTGGGAAGTTTTCCTTGATTATTTCTGTGAATAGCCTTTGCAGTTCCTTTGTTTGTACCCCTACTTCTTCATTTACATTCTTTATTCTTAAGTTATAGATTCTCTTGTCATCTTCTAGTCTTTGTATTGTTACTGCTTATTTCCTTGTTATTTTTAAGAAGTTTTTCCTTTCATGCTGCCACATTACAAACCTGTCCTCCAGTTCAGATAATCTATTCTTAGTTTCTTTCAAGCTGTTATGCCAGCTTTCAGTAGAGTTTTTAGTTTCCTGGTAATCTCTTTGAACCTGCTTCATGTATTCTATGTTTTCTCTATTTCCTCCATCAAACAATTCTCCCCTTTGTTTTTGTTCTTCCATTCTACTGTCTGTTTTTTCTTGGGAGGTGCTTAGCATTCCTTTAACTATTCTACTTATATCTTGCTTTACTTGGTTAAATACTTCACTTTTGAACTCATCTATGAGATCCCAAAGATACCGCTTTATGTCTGTTGGTGCCATGCCTGATATTGCATGTTTTCTGTCCTCATTCTCCTTTGCATTTACCTTTCTTGGATTAATGGTGTCAGGATTGGGGGACTGAGGGCCCTTTCTTTCTTTTTTTTTTTTTTTTTTTTTTTTTTTTTGTCTTTTTCATTTTTGTCGGTACCGGGGATCAAACTCACGCCCACCTGTTTGCAAGGCAGGTGCTTATGCCACTGAGCTAAATCCCCAGCCACCAGAGGGCCCTTTCTTGTTGCCTCCTCTTCTCAGATTTTTTTGTTCCTTCCATACAGGCATATATCGGAGGCCCAGTTTCTTTGTCGGTTTCAGTTTGTCTGAAGCGTGCTGACTAAGTGGTCCCGCCCACTGCAGTGTACTAGGAGGTACAGATCCGTGTAGCCTATGCTGGGCCTACCCCTCCAGGTCAACCTATTGAAAGCTTCACTGTGTTAGAATGCACTGCCAGTCACAGGGACTTGATTTGGGCTAGTCTATTGGGCCTTAGTCCGTGGCATCACCCAGGTCAAGTGCTCCCCACCAATCCCGCTTGAGAGGAGAATATGCGACTGAAATCACTGCAGGGCCCTGTTCCGGCCAGTTTGCCCATCCCAGGATGTCCTCTGGTGGAGCCTCTGTGTCTATAGAAAGGTCCCTGTTCCTCTCACTCACCGCAGGTCGATGCAGGGTTCCCTGCCAGTTCTTTCTCAATTCGGTTCTCTGATTCCCTCTCTCAGTGCATTCGCGTCTCCAGTGAGTTGAAACCAATTCAGGTATGGCAGCGAGTTCAATCCGTGAGTTCTGGCAGTGGCACTAAGACTTTAGCTGGTGTCAGTCGTAGCACCAGAAGGGCATTTTCAATTGGTTTCTCTCAGCTTAGTTTGTTCCTGGGCCAGCAGGGTATATCTCCCTCTGCTTAGGACTCCCCACACCACACCATTCCTGGAATCTAAGCTGGCTATCTCAGAGAGCCTCTGTAGCTGCTGTTACCTATCTGCCATCTTTTCTCAATCCAGTTGTCTGCTTTTCATTGAAAGCTTTTAAAAGTTCACCATTAATTGAGTAGTAATGTGAGACTATATTGTGCCTCATCAATATTTAAAACTTAAAAAATGTTTATTTCTGAAAATTTTCATTAATATATTTGGATCAAAGTTAATTGAAACCATGGAAAGTGAAACCACAGGTAAAGGGAATCTACTACATATTAGGAAATTAGTTTGTAAGTTCCTTTACATTTAGTTTTGTTCATTTTTATGGTGCTAGCGATCAAACCCACAGCCTAATGTCCATAGCCATTGTAGGCAACTGCTGTACATTGAGCTATATACTTCCTGCCCATAAGTTACATTTTTAGAAAATCTTACTTGTACTATAATTTGTATTATGTTAGTACTAATAATTACCTGTCCAGTTAATCTTTTTGTGTGGTTTTCTTTTTACCAATCTAAGATGATAAACATTTTCTCTTCTTTTGTATATTACATTTATACTTCTTGTTGTGTTTTAGATTTTACATTCACTTTTTAAAACTTTTATGTGTTTTGTGTAAGGAGTAAAAGTAGGGAAACTGCCAGTTTCATTCAGTGAATTCATTTTTTTCAAGCTTATATAAAATAACATACATACATTTCTGTTTATTTTTGAGTTCTTTGATTTTTCTTTTCATATGCCTCTTGTTTTATCTAACTTTCTATGTTAAATCTGTCAGGGCTCTTGTTTGGAGTTTCCATTGTGCCCAATTACTGATTTTTCAGAATCCTTTTTTTTGTTTTGTTTTCTGCTTGACTTTTATATCAATTTTAGAGTCTGCTTGTTTCTAAAACAATGGGAAAATTAGCATCTTAATTCCGAATTGTCCTCATTTATGTCATCATCTTTGAAATTTTCAGTTTTAATCTCCTTAAGATCATTTTAAGATATCTGTGTATACAGTGTATATTGCTACTTTAAGGTTTACTTTTACGTGGATAGTTTATAAGTTTTTCCCAAGGTAATGCATCTAATGCTATTTTAAATACTTACTCTCAGTACCTTTTGAATATTAAAAAACTACTCTATTTTTATTAAACATGCAACTGCCATTTTATCTCCTGATGATTTTAATTTTGTTCTCTTAGATTTTTCAGTTGTGAGTTTGATCATGTCATTAGTAAATAGTTTTACTGTTGTTGCTTACATTTTGATACCTACTACTTTTTTTTTGTTAGTATCCTCCGATAAATGTCAAGAACATTAATAATAACAATGTTTTACTCATGAAATGGATACGTATGTGTGTAGTATTTTTAATATTATGTATGATGCTGACTTTTTTGTGTTAAGGTATTTATAAAATATATCTGTGCATTAAAAGCTGTGGAGATTTTTTTTTCAGAAATAGATTTTTTTCAGTGATGCATGCCTGTAATCTTAGCACCCTAAGAGGACTGTAAGTTCAAGTCTAGCTTTCAGCAACTTAGGGAAATCCTGCCTCAAAGATAAAAAATAATTTTCTCATATGAGAGAAACCATGCTATATTTATCTTTCTGTGTCTAACTACTTCAGCTAACATTATGGTCTCAAAACAGAATTATCAATAAATACTAAAATAATGATAGACTTTTCAAGTGTTTGAGTAAATCAGGAAAAAGAAACAGGATAAAACATGAGTAAGATATGTTATATATACACATCAGTCACCCAGAATAAACATAAATTTCAGGTATTGCACACATATATACGTATATGTATATACACACCAATAAACAATATTTAACATAAATAAACATTATAAAAGGGCTGCGGATGTAATGTATTTCAGTGTGAAGACACTAGTCCCCAATACTAAAAAGAAAAAGAAAAACCTTTTGTAGAAAATGCTAGTGACATCTTTTGCTTTTTAGATTTTTTTTTTTTTTTTTAGCTGACTGAAAAGGGGACAGAAGGGAGAGGAACAGAAGGGAAAGTAAAAAAGATCAAGTTTGATATATGTGTACCAATGCCCCACGATGAATATATTATGTATTACAAACATACACTTAATGAAAGAAATTTTTAGAAAAAGGTTTTGAGTAGACATTTTGTGTGTGAGAAATGGAATTCTTTATAGTAATATAAATTGTTGTGTAGTGATTATAGCTTACAAACTTTTGTTGTGTGACATGGAGATGAGGCCATGAACTTAAAAACCTAGTTGCATTTTAATGGGTATGAAATATTTTAAATTTATCATAAATTTATATGTGCTTATTGAAAATTTATATCTGGAGATTTTAATATCACAACACCTGTTTAGATGTCATTGAACATGTAATTGTTTCTACATTTCACATTATACTGTACTTTGAGATTGTACTATAAATCTTTTGACTTAGTTATTTAGGTATGCTGCTAAGATGATGTATGTTCATTCACATTACTTTGAATTGAATGCACTGTTGTTAAATCAGCCACTTGATATAGCATTTACTTGACTTGAATGTTCCGAAGATCAGCATACTCAGTTACAAGAATGTAGTAGAAATTACTCTACACTCAGTAGGATATTTTAGTTCCCTCCCCAGTTCATTGAGAGATTTATATTTTGTATTAGTGACCTAGCAAATATTTTATTAAAGACATGATTACTGACATTACTTAAAAATAATGTGATACTTTACATACAAAGTTACTCTGTTAAAGGTTTCTAGTTAATAGTTACTATATCATTTGTAAATTAACAGTTAAAAAGGAATACAATTTATTTAGCCTATTGATCCTAATTTGGAACATTGCTTTAGAAGCTGCTATCAAGATCTTGAAGTGCTTTGGGATTAGAATCAATATTTATCATTGTATTGTAAACCTTTAAATATATTTTGCTTAGTCAAATGTTCATCATTAATAAAATAATTTTGCTCCATTATGAGAAATTGTGCTTTTTAAAAAAAAAGTATTTGGAATCTCTAGTCTGATTTTAGAAGTAAGGTCATAAAAAATAAGTTATGATAATAACAACCTAAAAGGAAATTAGTTATCTTCATTTGAGGTTAGCTATTAAAGTGTTTCCTTCAGAAATTACTAATTTTCTATACACTGATGTTCTTAATTGTTTTAGGCTGCACTTCATGGAGCTCGTTTCAAAGGGCAGGATCTAAAACTGGCATGGAATAAACCAATAACTAATATTTCAACTGTGGAAACAGAAGAAATTGAGCCTGATGAAGAAGAAGTATGTTTTGTTTTCCACTTTTTCTTGCCTTTAATTGTTCATAGTGTACACATAAAATGGGTTTTTTTTTAAAGGCTGTGATTTTTGACATAACACTTTTATTCCAGAACCTTATTTCAGACAGATAAACTTTTAAGTTTTCTGGATTAATGTGAAGAACTATTGATTACTAATCAAAAAGAAAATATGAAAATCACACATACATATACACATGCACAGTTTTCATTTTCTCTTAGAAGATAATATTCATTAGATTTTTATTCATAGGAAATTTTGCAATATTTTGAGTTTTAAGGTATCTGTTCTACTCAATTGCTGTTTTAACATACTAGCTTTCTTTTAATTCATCTTGTTTTAGTTCATTAAAATGAATGCCTGCTACATAGTAAATTCTGTCAAAGGCACAAAAATGAATAAGACACGGTCCCTGTTATCAAGGAGCTTATAATCTGAAAAGGCGGATGATGACAGATACTTCAGAAACTAATAGGCAGACTAATGTGCTGAATAAAGATTTGAACAATGCGCTGTGTAAGAAATGATTATTTCTTGAAGGGAGGTATTGACAGTGGAACAGGGCCCTAAAGGATAGAATAGCTTTCTATCTCCAAGTGCTGGGCCAGGTATTTTAGGCAGACCATAAACTTTAGGAGATAAGTATAGTAGAATTTTTTTTTTCTTCATAACCGCTGTTAGGTAGATGACTGAAAGGTGTGAGCATATATAGCACAGTAAACTAAAAAAAGAGTCCTTTCAAACCAAAAAGTTAAAAGTCAGCAACTCTATTTTGCTTGATTATTAAAAAACAAAAAAAAAAAGAAAAGTTGAATAAAGGTAAGGTGAAGAAACCAAATGATTCTGTTTTCCCTTTGTTAGATTTTCTTAATAGCACTTCATTTTGTCTGAAGAGTGCTTGAAGGCTGTTATACATATCCATAGTTAAATGCAAGAATAAAATGTGTATTTTGAAACTCATATACATGATTTGTCATTTTATATTTTAGATTATACCTTTGTCCTTCCAGGAGTTTGAATTGAAAATGGGGAGAAAAGCAGGCGAGCTCCTGGTATTAGGTATTTTGAAAAGTTTGGACAAGCAGTCTGAGAAATGTTTATGAAAGAAATGGGGAAAAGAAAGGAATGCTGTAAAAGAAAATGTGCATATAGCAGAAAAGAAACAAATCATGGTAGAATTTTATACAAAATCATTCATTAACTCAGTGTTCAGAGTTAAGGTCAGAGAAAATTGGTTTTCTTTTTCTAAACAAGTGTTGAAATATTTCGAAGGATAAAAGATGGCATAATTTGTTAGTGTCAGAAAATATGGCATGTGCAAAGTCTTAATTTGACATTTCTTTGAGTTTCATGCAAGCAGTAGTGTAGATACTATAGAGAAGTCCTTGAATAAAGGTTGCTTTTTGTTTCTTTAATATTCTAGCTAGAGTATTAAGACCTTTTATATTCAACTCAGAAATCAGTGTTTAAAAGTGTCACCTGTTTTTCTTTTTTCTTTTCTTTTTTTTTTTTTTTTTTTTTTTTTTGGGTAAATTCCTAAATACATTTTAACCTAAAGTTTCAGGAAGAGTCTTTGGTGGATGATTCATTACTTCAAGATGATGATGAAGAAGAAGAGGACAATGAATCTCGTTCTTGGAGAAGATGATTTGACTGATCATTGATCTACATATGCTAGAACTCTACCTGTGTTTCATTAGTATTATCTAATGTACTTTTACATATTTGTAAAACAATTTTTGGTAAAATGTGATGAAGATGGATTTCTCAAATAGACAAAAGAGAAGAAAAATACCTTCTGATCCTGTATTTTGAAAAGATTGATGTTTGCATTTTATTTCAGTAAACAATTGCTAAAGACATCACACTAGAACATATGCAATGTTTTTATTACGTACTTCTACTGAACATTACAGAATTCTTTGGGTTCTTTGTAATTTAATGAATAGGTCTGAAAACTTATGACCCAACACTTGTTATAATTTAGATTTTGTTTTAGTCCAAATAAGGAATGAATTTGCATTTAAAATCTTGATGAATGTTTTCAAAAATGAATAGCTAACATAGTACCTAACTGAAGTTTCCAAGTTATGTATTCATAATATTACATAGTAGTATGCTTAGGCTTTACTATGTATTAGCCTTTTTGTTGGACTTGTGTATGTATTTTACTACATGGGTTTTAATGATAATGGTGTATGACTGCTTTACATATGAGCCCTTATGCATCTGGATGTTAAAAATAAAGTGGAATGGTCTCTTGAAAAGAAAAGAAAAGAAAAAAAGAAAAAGCAGTGGAAAAAAAAAAAAAAAGACCAAGACAATGTTCCTTGATTGAAAAAAAAAAAAAAAAAAAAAGGAAAAAAAGAAAAAAAAATAAATACTAAATAGACCATTCCAGATGGTGATCGGTACCCTTTCCCCCAATGATCACAAAAGGAGCTATAATCACTAACTTACTCTTAATAATGGTTACTGGTAACTTTATAATAATAATGTACAGTCCAATGTTTAAAATTTATACCACTTCAGTTTGGTTTGATCCTATAAATTTTCAACAGATGTCTTAAAATTTAAAAGCAGGCTGATTAGTTTGGAACCAGACTTCAAGTAGAGCTAACATTTGGTGAATAAGAAAACATCATATTACATTTTGGATGTATGAGAGAAAACTTGACCATTTGAAGATGTATGAATAAAGACATGTACTATAGATACTACTTTAGGAAAACACTGTTTGGTAAGTGTTCCAGTCTGATACGTTAAGTGTGCATTTCCTATTGTATAAAAGTCTTTGACATTTGCAACAATATTGTGATTTTTAAGTGGATTTCTCTTGCAAGTGAACATGATCATTGAAAATTGATATAGCAGTTTTCAGGAAATAAATATATTCTTTGTAGAATGAGGGGGGATTATTATATTTCTCAAAATCCATCATTGCAAGTGTTGCAAGTATTTCTTCCTCTTTTGAGATTATAGTGATAATATTTTTATAAGGCACATTAAAATATCACTTCCTTTCATATTGGGGTCTTCAAAATCAAAATCTTTATTCTCCCACCACCATCATAGACTTTGGGCAATGGAGTAGCGTGTATATAATTTTTTTTTCTTATTTTTGCCTACAGTTGGGATTAAAATTGTATGTTCTTCAGGGTTGTACTATTTCATAGGAGTGTTTGACTTCTAGTTGGTACACATTTATATTTAAAATCTCAAAGTTAGATTTCAGTTGTCAGAATCCTAACTTTACTCAAAATTGTAGATCCATGCTATATTTTTATGTAGTCTCTTGTATATTGACTATGTGCTGTTCTGATTCATTAGGTAAGTTTGTTTTCTTTTCTTTTTAGTAGTCGTGAAAGGTGCCAAATTGGCAGAGGCTCACGTTTCTTCTCTTTACACCAAACAGGTATTATAAAGAAAGTAAATCTTTCAAAGGCCAGTTAAATCTCCATGATGGTTTTGGCTCTGTAATTTGATTAATAATTCTAGCCTTATACTGTAACTGGAATTACCATCCATAAATAGCTAATCACTTTCTCTAGGCTAGAATTCTCTTTAATAACCTAGAATTTAAAGTGTTGTAAGCCATGTTGCTTTGAATGAATCAAAAGACTCATTGTGTTTCAGTTTGGTTCCAGACCACCATTAGGTTCCGATTTACACTTTTATAAGATTACTACATTTTAATTATAAATTTCAGTATTATGTTGCTATTGTTTTTCAAATAAATATTAGTAATGTACATGTAGTTTCATATTTTTTTCAAAATTTAAGGTAGCTCTTTAATTGTTAACTACCATTTTGCAGATAAACCTTATTTGTTTTTGTTTTTATAATGGGGATTGAACTCATGACCTTGCACTTGCCAGGCAGATGCTTTTGCCACTGAGCTAGACCCCTGGCCCTCAGATAAGGAAACTTAGGCTGGCAAAAATAAGAGTGGCTTACCCAAAGTCATAACTAGTGAGTGGAAAGACTAGATTTGAACAGAGGCATTCTGATTTCAGTGCCAACTTTTTATTCTCTTAACTGCATTGCTGCCTCCTTCCTCATTTTGATTGAGCATAACATGTGTTTATAGACATGCTAGTTATTGCCTCAAAGATACTACACAAGATTAGTAGGCTTCTTGGTCACGAGGCACTTCATATTTTCAACTCCCTCTTAATACAGCAGTTTGTTCATATCTCTGTTAAAATACTTATGTTGTATACTAATTTATCTGGTTTTTATGTGTGTTCCCCACTACATTCCAAGCTCCTCTAGGAAAGGGACCATGTCTTATTCATCTTACCTGTATAGTGCTTATCGTAAAGCCTGGCTTACGTTGACACTCAGGTGTCTGTTGAATGAAATAATGAATGAATGTATAGTTAAATCTCCAATAATGAGGTGACAGTTACCTCCCTTGTTAATTCTTATCAGTTTCCCAGAAGAATCAATCTTGAGAATCTCCTCAGTCCTTTGAGAACTTTTTGCTAACCATTTGATTCAACTGAGCTTTCCATTTGATGGATTACAGGTACTGTTAGAGGTAGTCTTAGAAACTGGAATTTCCACCATATTTGATAAGACACTATATTTTGGAGTAAAGTCTAAAGGTGATCTAATATGGAGAACCAGACAAGGGTTAAGAGATTGACCATTTGATTGTGGCTCTTTAATTCTGTGGCCTTGAACAGATCTCTTACCTTATCTAGTGTTATTTCCTTCTCTGTAAAATGAAAGGGATTGAACTAGATGACCTTTAAGATCCCCTTTCATCTCTGTAGTTTTTCTGGTGCTACAATAGTGTTTGATCTAAAATAATTTAACATATCTAAATCAGTTCTCTATTTGTTGTTGCTGTTTCCGTAATCTTATCATTGGAAACAATTTATATTTGGTTGTGATAATTCTTACGTCTTTTGGTTTTATATATAGTGTTCCCAAATGCTTGCATTTGCTGGCACAGATTCTGTTGAACTTTTATAGATTAACTGTGGTGTTCACTTGCATTCCCTCTCACCAATTATTACTTTTCCTCTTGTTTCTATGAATTTTCCCCCAAATAGGAATTTAAATCCTATGTTTTTTCTTTTCTTTTACATTGTGGTAGCTACAAGAAACTCTTAGAGTGGTATCTTAGTTCATAAAAATTCATTCCATATTTCTGGAAGGGATGGCCATGTTAAAATTCACACATGAAAGATGGTGACAGTACTGTTTGTCACTCAGTGTGGTGTTTGCAAACAAACGTTTTTCACAAATGCTTCTATTTGCAAACTAAATTGTTCACAACAGAAGTGTTCGTGAACTGAGATATCACTGTAATTCTGTAGTTCTCCAAACAAGGTTTTTGATTTATTGTATACATCCAGACTGTGTAGCCTGAATTGGGAGTGGAAAAAGGATTGAGGACAACATAGGTATTACTTCACAGGAAAACTTGAGGGAAATTATATACTACTGATTGAAAAATTGATTAGGATTACCTTGGGATGGTTAACTTGTCATTTTACGGATTATACTCAATACTTTAGGATTTGAGTAGTGTTGCTTTCAATGTTATTGGATAATTGTAACATTTTAAAAATTAAGTATTTAATTGATGCCAAACCATTTAATGAAAACATATTGTAGGAATGGGAGAATATTCTGTAGATTCTGTTTTATTGTAATATGATCAAATGTAACCTTATCAGTAGTGTACTGTAAAGACAACTGTTTTAAACTGATTACATGTAGCAAGTATGGCCAAGCTTAATTGAAGGAAATATCTTGTTATTAGGGGTTATTGAGAGTCTGTATTTAATTGAAGCACCAATCGTTGGATATAAGGGTTCAAAAAGAAAGCAAACAATTGCTTGTTTCGATGTTGAAGTAACAATGACTGTTTTAGAGTTTATACAGATATGAAGTTGGGGAAAATAGTTTTTTTCCCCCATTTCAGATAATATAGTAGTCTTAGAATTTATGTAAATTTTTGTAAGTTTTTGTTAGCTTTTATAGAAGTCTGTTAGCCTTTCAAACAAAAATGTTCTGCAGGAAATCTGGATTACTAAGTTAGTTCACTTACTGATCTTTCTCTCAGGGCTTCGTCTAAAAATCCTATAGATTAAAAATGGAAATTTAATGTAAAATTAAATCACTATTGTGAAATATTTGTAAGACAGAAAATTCCTTTTCCCAGACAGGAGGAACTTTTGTTAACTTCTTAGACTGGCTAGTTGCTGGAAGGCATGTGTATAGGCTTTTAGGAAAGATTAGTTGCATTTTTCTTCTTTCAGAATTGTACACTTACCAGCTGAAATATAATATTTTGAAATAGCTGCCTAGAAGTCGTAGGAAAGAAAGAAATCCTGGTCAACATGATTGCCACAGTCAGTTATTACTCATGAAAGTGTGGTACCTAATTTGGTAGCAGCTTTCTTGCAGTTTTGTCAGTATTTGCATCATTCAGTGTAAGAAAAAAAACCTTTCTTTTTTTAGTTACTCTTTTTGTGTGTGTCAACTTTTTCTATTTATTTCTTCCCAAATTGTTCCCTTTCTATTTATTTCATTGGTTTACTCATCTATTTATCTAGAGTAAGCCTTCTTTCACAGACAAGTGAATCTTCCCTTTTAAAATTGTTTTGTTGATTTTGGTGTTTAGTATAGAATAAAGTTTGAAACATTATATGGAGCTTAATTAGGTACACTTTTCAACTGTTTTGAAATCTTTTGGGAAACTTTAAGACAAGTATTTTTGCTTTTATTTTATTTAGAATAGCTTGGAATTTATTTATGATTTCTGAAAAATTCCTTGCCTGCCCATACCTTCACAAAAATTTATACTGTCTTACCAGTTACTAGATTTCATAGCTGAAAATGTTCAGTCATAGCCATGTTGTGGTACTATGATTTTTGCGAATGAAGCCTGCTGGAGAGAGATTTTGTTAAAATCATTTAGCCCAAATTTGATCCTATGTGTAATTTGTCTGCAACTGTGACTCCTTTCTCAAATAGATTTTGTTTTAATGTTTAGAAAAGTTGGAGAGGACGTGATTCAAGTTATAGATTTATTTGCTATTTTCAAAGTTTTTTTAATAGCTTTCTCTTTTTCCAGCAGAGAGAGACCATCATTGCCTGAATTAGCTTTGTGACTACAAGAGCAAGACCTGTTCCTGTCTGGAGACAACTGTTAATGATGATATCATTTTATCATTTTATTTGCTCTTTATCCATTTGAGTAGATGTTTACATGTGCTATAATTAGCATTTTATATTTACACTTCACTAAGCATATAACCCACTCCAAATATGTCCCCTGCGTGACCTACTATAAATGTTTTCTCCCCTTTGTAGCCATTTGTTTTTTAAAAGCATCTTAAGAAACAGATAATGTCTCTTTTTCCTAATAAGAGATACATGCCGTCTCAGCCAAATTGATAATTGTGTCTGGAAAATCTGTAAAGCCATGATAATGTGTTTATTAACATGAACAATTTAGAATGAAGAAAACTAATTAAAAAGTTAAACCTAAGTTTTTGTTTTAATTTTTTTTTGGTTTTAGGACCAAGAGTAGCCACTGGTTCTAGAACCAGAGTAGCCACTTAAAATAATTTTTAACAGATGATGAGAAAAATGTTTTACACACTATTACAGCTTGCTTTTTTCTTATGAATATACTTAATTTAAATTCATTGCCAAGGCTACTTACACAATTTTTTTGGTCTTTAGCTTTTCATGCCAAGGAGAATAATTTTTTTTACTTCAATAAATTGTGGTTTGATTATAAATGCTGAATACTTTAATTTATATAGTTTTTCATGCTGTAATCAAGACATCAAAGACAATCTTAAAAGCAAGGAGAGAGTGTTATAATTCAAACATTGTTAAAGACTATGGTTTTCAACTTGTAAAAAAGTGTATGCACAAATTATAAGCAGTATAGCTTAGAATTCTAAAAAGTACAACTGAGTCTCATTTTAAATATCCATTCACTATCTTTTTTGTAAAGAACATCATTGAAAAATGTTTTCATAGATGTAGAGTATTTCTTCCCAGATTTTTAGGTGGCATTTGATAAGTTATATGTTATATTCAGTATATTAGGAATATCCAAGTTACACTGCTTCTGTTTACTTAGATTTAAAAAAAAAATTCATTTTATCCAGCCATACTTTTTTTGGTTTTCCCTTTCCCTTCCCCCTTCCCCTTCCCCCTTTTTTCTTTTTCTTTTTCTTTTTCTCTTCTTTTCTTTTCTTTTCTTTTCTTTTCTTTTCTTTTCTTTTCTTTTCTCTTCTCTTCTCTTCTCTTCTCTTCTCTTCTCTTCTCTTCTCTTCTCTTCTCTTGTGCAGAGTTTGCATTGTGAGTGTCCTTATTGAACAATATAACAATGTAATGAATATATCATTCATAATGTAAATTATTTGTTTTGAGCTCTATTGGTTATACTTTGCATGTTTAAAAGAAAATTATGTAGTTTGAAAAGTAATATTTCCTAGTTGGCTATAAGGCTTTTTTTTTTTTTTTTTTTTTTTTTTTTTTTTAAGATTTTCTGTAGGTTCACATTCATCCACCAGCAGATAGCTACAGGGAGTTCATAAAATTTTCCCCGGAATAGTTGGGTAGTTTTTATATTCAGAGAAAGAGTCTCTGCTCCTACAGTAGTGGTTTAGATGACATATTAGAACCCAAAAAAATACTTTCTGAAGATACCATATTTGCCATAAACCATTTTGATTGTTAATAGACGTGGACCATGTGTGATCACCTTTAACTTTATTTTGTCATCTTGTTTCTTATACTTTTACAAGCAAAGCGAAACAAAATTGAACATGGCGCTGCGAAGCAAAAGTCAGAATTTCATTCTTCCTAATATAATTATGTGTTGAAGATTGCTACAAGAGCCAATTAATTTATTTAAATTCTCATATATTGGTAAATTAAGATAAGGTTTGCACTCTTATTCCCTGAATAATATTCTCATGGAGCTTTGTGTACATAGGTAACTGTACAGAATCACTTGTGTAATTAAATGAAGGGATTTACCTCTGCATGAATGCATTATGGAAGCCTTTTATATATCTTTATATTTTTCAATATACTTACATTTTACACTTTTAGCTGCTGTAGTCATGCTATATTTGTTTTTTTAATAGAGTTTATAAAAATTTATGCTCAAAATACAGATTAATGGAATATTTTTGGTCTTGTTTTACAAGATAAATAATACTTTAAAGTGAAACATACCCCTTAAGTGTCTTAGGAAAAAAGTCAATGGTGCTACAAAACCTTTCCTTATCATTTTTGAACCTGTTGTTTAGACTTTGCTAGGCTTTAATCTATGATTGCTTGTGATCTATTCTAATCTAGTAGCATAATTATAAAAGTGATCTGTGCTGAGTCAAGCAAAATGCCCAGCTCATTAGAAACACCTCTTAATTTAAGGAACTGATACAAAATGACTGTACATTTATTTGTGCTCAACTTCCCCCCAAAAGAGAATAGCTTATTTTGATGAGTGGGTTGTAATTTGACCAGAATCTAAAAAGTGATATGTTCAGCATGGCTGTTTTCTGATATTTTAAATAGAAGATTTTCTAGTCTTAAAATATTATACAATATTACTCTACCTTAAGTATCAACAATCCCAATAGGAGGCAGAGTAATTCTTTAAATATTTACAGAATATTTGATGACTTACAAAATACATATTATTACAGTGTACAAGTTTTTCACTGATGTGTAGAGTTTTTATTTTGTCTCTTAAGAATTCTTTTCCAGTACCTTACTGAATACAGTTAAGTGTCAGCAAAGCATTCGTAGATAACTGCTTTTGATTCTCACAATCCCAAACTTGTTTTTGACTGACACAGAGCATATTGTGTGGCACAAAATTTTCTGTCATTGTTTTAATTACTTTTCTGTAAACTGTTGAACCTAAAGACACCAAAGGTATCTTGTCTGGAGATTGGATTATTCCAGTGTTTAGCGCCTGTGCCCATATGTATCCCATTTCATGAATGTGTGTTGGTATGGGGAAAAAATTCCCTGCTCTATGCGTGGAGCAAAAGTAATTGGTTAAGCTGTAGCAGCTTTTTGTTTATTTTTAAAAGTGATAATAAAACTTGAACTGAAAAAGGTAAAACTTGAACTAGAAAACTACTCTTGTATGCTTACATGTTTATGTTTGTCAACATTTTTATTATTTATAGTTGAATTATGTTGCTTTGTTTGTTAAATATCCATAATGTTTATTATTTTTATATTTTGAAAAATTTAAAATAAAACAATCTTAATAAAAAAAACTGTTAATGTTTTCAGAGTTGTCCTGCATCTTACATCAGTTATTTTAATAGGAATTAAAAAGATTTGCATCCATGAGGTATTCTAGTTGAGAATTCTAAAAATTGTTTATACAATAAAATTATGGCACAATTTCCTACTCTTTACCCTCCATTCTTACATTGTCTTCTTTGTTTCCAGTATATTACTGAATTTAATGACTTCTCTCTCATATACACAAATATTTTATCATCTTTCCACCCCTTGGTTCTTGCCTCTTCACTGCTGGAAACTTTTTGTTTATTCCATTTGTTAGTCAAAGATTCTTAACATGAATGATAAATATGAAAATACTATTGATATCAAAGGAATGTGATAGTTATTAAAAGTGAAATGGGGGGCTGGGGATTTAGCTCAGCGGCATAAGCGCCTGCCTTGCAAGCAGGCAGTGGTGAGTTCGATCCCTGGTACCGATATAAAGGAAAAAGACAAAAAAAAGTGAAATTGGATATAAAATATGTGTAATGTCAGCCTCCAAAAACAGAAAATTTTCAGAAAGTATCTAACTCGGTTTTCGTCCCAGTCATCTCTTGATTTGGCCTGGTTTTCTGGGATTCAGCATGATTGTGTCATTTAATTGTATTGAATGATAAGTACTACATATTCTTTTGTGTTTCATTACAAATATACCTTCTGTGTATAACAAAGTTGGTGATAATGTGTCTTGTATTTGGCCCTTGACACTTATGAACAAAACAAAAAGATCAAAGACATCTGGCTGAGAAAAAAATTTTTGTTAAATGATACAGGAAAATTATTTTACGCACACAAGTATGTAGCTGAGCCCTGTGGAATGTTGCAGATTTGAGTTTTGTCAGCCTTCACTTAAAAAGTATTCAGAAAGAATGAATTTGTCTTTGTCAAACACAAAGGTGTGTGATACTGTTTCATTTTGGGGAACTAGAATTTTAGAGAAGTATAGAGATGGTGTAATAGCCAATTATCTGTAAATGACCATTTTAAAATAGCATATAGTTCGGTAATGTTTTTAAGAAGCCCTGCATTATTTGTAAGTTACTCCATAATTCTTATTATCCTTTGTAAAATGTTTTCAGCGTTGCTTTATTAATACACATTTGCAGTACAGTGATTATAGTCATCATTGAATTGTACTTGTGACAAATTGGTACATGTACTTAGCACATCTAAATTCTGTTTACATCCCCTTTCCTGCTAGTGCATTCCTCTTCATTGCTTGGTCCTTTTTCCATTTGTAAAAGATCTCCCTGATTCCTATTATCTTTTATTTATACTGTGAGTTTCTTATAGGAGAAATCATGTGGTACTTAAGCTTGTGTGTCATTTATTTTATTGAACATTATGTTTTCAAGGTGCATCCTCTTTCCTACAGATAAATTTATCCTTTATGGTAGAATAGTTCTCCATTGTGTATCAACATGTTTTCTTTATTCATCTATTGGTGATCATTATGGATGGTTCTGTGATTTAGCTACTTTTTTGGGCCACTGTAATCATGGCCATGCATATTTCATGGTAATAAGCTGTCGGTAAATTTTTGGAAGATAATGAAGGGAATAGTTGGGTTGAGTGGAATTTCTTTTTTTAGTATTTTGAGGAAACTCCATACTAACTTCCATAGTGGTAATACATTCCCAACAAAAATGTAGAAGGGTTCTTTATCCGCTAATCTTTGCAAGCATTGTTTGAGTGCTTAAATAGTCATTCATGCTGGAGTAAGATGGAATGACAGTGTTGTTTTGATTTGAAATTCACTAGTTATCAAAGATGTTCAACCTTTTTTTTAAATATATATTGGCTTTTTGTGCTTATGTTTTGAGTGTCTACTCACTTCACTTGCCAATTTTTTGACTGAGTTTTATTTTTGGGGTGGTGTCTTGATTTTTTTTTTTTGGTTCTTTATTCTAGATGTTAATTTTCTCCAAGGGGTAGCAGGTAGTACCCTTTGCAATTACTTAGGTACTCTCTTCACTTTTGGTTATTTCTTTGCCCTACAGAAGCTTTTTATTTGACATGACCTTATTTGTTGAGTTTCAGTATTTCTTGTGCTATTGGGGTTTTATTCAAAAAATCTTTGCCTGTACCTGTGTCTTCATGAGTTTTATCTGTGTTATCTTTCAGCAAATTGTTTTAAAATTGAGATTTTTAATTCATGTTGATTTCAGTTTAATACATGGTGAGAGGGGTCTAGATTCAGTCTTCTGCATGTGTATGGCCAGTTTTCTTGGCACAGTTTGTTAAAGAGGCCTTTTTATATAGGGTGTTTTTGTCCCTTTTGTCTTAAGATCAGATGGTTAATGTGCCTGGAGTGATTTCTGTGTTGTCTTGTGTTCCATTGGTCCACATGTCATTGTGCCAGTATCATGCTATTTTATCACTGCAGCTTTATAATATAACTTGAAATGTGGGATATTTTTTGCTCTTATCCATAATTGCTTTTGCTTTTCTGGGTCTCTTCTAATTCCATATAAAGCTTAGGATTGTTTTCTCTAGTTGTGTGAGGAATATTGGAAATTTGACTGGTATTAAACTATATAGGGTCAGTTTTGGAAGGATGGCCATTTTGACAATATTGGTTCTTCATATTGAGGAATAAGGGGCATCTTTCCATTTCCTAATACTTGAATCTTCTTTTTCAAGAGTAGTGTGAGTTTTGTTATGGTAGTGTTGCATTTCCTTGGGTAAGTTAATCCCTAAGTGTTTCATTTTTTTGAAGCTATTGTGAATGGTATTGTTTTCCTGATTTCTTACTGAGTTCGTTATTGGTGTACAGGAGCACAGTTGATTTTTGTGTGTTGATTTTGTATCTTGGTATATTACTGAATTTGGGTATCCTAGAAGTTTTTCTGTGGCTTTTCCCCCCCTGGTGTGTGTGTGTGTGTGTGTGTGTGTGTGTGTGTGTGTGTGTGTGTGTCTGCTATGTAAAGAATCATGTTGTGTGGGAATAAAGTCACTTGAGTTCTTTTCCATACCCCTTTTTCTTGTTTGCTTGATCTGGGTTAAGTTTCAACTACTACACTGGGGAATAGCAAACATCTTTGCTTTGCTGGCTTTTATAGGAAAACTTTCAGTGGATGTTGTCACTAGTTTGTCTTATCAGATTGAGATAAGGTCCTTATACTTGCTTTTAAAAGGTTTTTTTAAACGAATAAATGGTAGAATGTGTCAGGTTTTTCTGTATCTGAGATGATCATGTATTTGTGCTGCTTTTTATGTGGTGTATCACATGTATTGATTTGCATGTATTTTAAAAATTTAGTTTTAAAAAGCAAAACAAGGGTAGAAATAATACAGAATTTCAAAAAAGTAACAGTAAGTAGTCAACACTTGTTAATATATTACACATTGTTATTTTAGAAGTAGTTACTCAGGTTACAAAATCAAAGCATAAATAATGAATAAACAATGGTAGCACAAACTATTCTTTTTTTTGTCTTTTTCGTTTTTATCGGTACCAGGGATCGAACTCACGACTGCCTGCTTGCAAGGCAGGCGCTTATGTCGCTGAGCTAAATCCCGATTAGTATGGTTATCTGTCTTGCACACTTAAACATGCATACAGTTGTATATGCATACCTACAAGTTGTTCTTTCCTTTTGAGTACTTTCCCTTTCATTATTACAATATCTATTGTACATTTTGAATCTTATTATTCTTTCAGTTTTATTTAATTATTACACTAGAGAGACTATGATATTAAATGTGAGTGATTTATTTCACTTTTGAGGATAGTCTCAGGTTGCCTCCATTTACTATAAAAGCCTCAAGATTATCCTTTTTATAGTTGAGTAATATTCCATTGTAGAAAAATGGCATTTTTTTTTTCATCAATTCTGCAGTTGATGGCATTTTAGTTGTTTCTAAGATTTAGGTATTACAAATTGTGCTGCTGTAAACTTGGGTGCACATATATCGCTGTGACATGACGTCTTCAATTTTTCTGGGAAAATACCCAGAAGGGAAATAGCTGGATTGAATGAACTTCCAATCCTAGTGTTTGGAGGGATCTCTATACGGCTGCACCTGCCTACACTCCCATGAACAGTGGAGAAGTGTTCCTTTTTCCCCACAGCCTTACCAACATGTTATCGGTTAATTTCTTGATGGTAGCCATTCTTTCTGGAGTGAGATGGACTCTCAGTGCGTTTTAATTTGCATTTCTTGAAGGACCAGTGATGGTGAACATTTCTTCATGTATTTATTTGCCATTTGTATATCTTCATCTGAGAAATGCATATTCATTTCAGATGCCCATTTTTGGAGTGGGTCTTTGAATTTGGAGGGCTTACAGTTTTTCAGTTCTTTGTATGTTCTAGATATAAGTCCTTTGAGGGACTGCTGGCTAAAATTCTTTCCCATTCGTTGAATTTTCACTGTTGGTGATTTTTCTTTAAGTGCAAAAACTTTTTAATAAGATGAGACCCCAGTCTTTGATTACTTGAAGTACTTCCTGTGTAGTTTGCATTTTGTTCATGAATACTGCCTACCCCTGTGTCTTCAAGGTTTTTACCTACCTTGTCTTCCAGTAGATTTAGTGTTTCTGTTTTAATATTTAGATTCTAGACCCATTTTGATTTTAGTGTATAGTAATACACATGGGTCTAGTTTCAGTCTTTGGCATGTGGAAAGCCCATTTTTCCAACACCATTTATTAAAAGAGGCCATCCTTCCAGTCAACATGTTTAGTCCCTTTGTCAAATATAAAGTGGCTGAGTGTCATTGTAGTTGTGTTTGTATCTTCTGATCTGTTCCATTAATCCTCAAGTCTATTTCTTTACCAGTACCTTGCTGATTTTATCACTGTAGCTTTGTAGTATAGTTTCAAGTCAGGAATTCAGGTGCCTCCTGCCTTGCCCTTGTTGCCCAGAATTGCCTTTGCTATTCTAGGTTTGTTCTGTTTCCAAATGAATTTTATGAATGTTTTCTCTAGATCTGTAAGGTATGTTAATGGTATTTTGATTCGGATTGCATTAAACTGAACAAC